TCCTTAATTGCAAAACTAGGAGTAAAGTTTAAAATTTCCCCAAATAGAAGTTATTATATGTAATTGGACAGAAATATCCATGAAGCTTGATAAAACCTAATGCAGCAACTGTAGAACGTCGGTCATCACTGCCAGTCACCGGCCACCACTGCTAGTCACCCGCCACGGCAGCCAATTGCCGGCCGAACCACCGCCAGTCGCCTGACAGACCACCGTCAGTCGCTAGACGCCGTCGCCGCTGCATATCTGGACTTCACCGTCGTTGTTCTGACCTTCGCTGTTGTAGATCTGGCTAGATATGTCTGTCTTAGGCCGCCCGCCGCCACTCTTACAGATTCGAATGCCAACGTGCAGATTCAGCCTCCTCCATTGTAGATCCAACCTCCTCCCTTGCAGATATGTCCTATGTTGCCGCTATTGCCAACATTGTTTATCGGAATGCCAACACAAATGGAGAATGCCGTATTGATAGCATTTTCAAAAGGAAAAAATGGCATTTTTGAAGAGTAAAAAAGCCATCTTCATGGAATTTTAAAAATGAAAATGTGTTGTTAAAATTGCCAAAATTTTCTCTGAAAATGCCATCAAAATGACATGTTTACTGTTTAAAAGTTTTCTATTTTCCTTTAAAAATGCCATTAATATGGCATTCTTGATTCATGTTGGCATTCTGCTAAAATTATTGGGCACATTGGCGATGTGGGTCTGAACTGCAATACTAGTGGGCGGATTTGCGGTGATGGCTGCCGGATTTGTAAGGGCGACAGTCGGTGGCACTGATGGAGATGAGCATCTCAATTTTGCATGATCTTAAATCAAATAAAAGAGGAAGAAAGAGAGAAACAGAACCGAGCGGAGGAATTAACGAAGAAGAAGGAAGAGATAGTGAAAACAACAAGCCTCAATTTCACCACCAAATCTAAAATTGTTGTTGGCCACCACTGCTCATCGTCACTCCTTTGTCGCTCATCACAACTCATTGTTCCTCACCGTGAATCGTCATATATTTCCATCAGCACCCAGCGTACTGTTGAAGATAAGGAACAACAAAGGCTGATGCAGACAGTTTGTTGTTGCAGGGGAAGAAATGATGCAAACAGTTTGTTGTTGCAGGGAAGAACGGAGAAGTTGTGTGGCACGATTAAAATGACTGGGAGGGGTAAAATTCTAACAATGATCCTATTTAGGGAATAAAAATAGTCACACTCCTATTTAGGAATTTAAGGAATAATTTAGTCTTATTTAGGGTAATAACTCTTATTTCTTCCATTTTATTTTTGTTTTTTGTTTTCATTTTCAGTTTTCCATTTTTTAAATTTGCACACATGTTTTTTAAATTTCTTTTGTTTTCCATTTCATTTTTCAAAACCATAAATGGCATAAAGTAAGAATAGATGTTTAGAGATAGACACTAGGGCTACACATCGGGCGGGTTGAATCGGGTTTGCTACATTTTTTGGGCATACTCAAATTATTCGGGTTGACTATTTACCATTCCGTGGTATGAAATATAAGTTGGTAAACCATGCATGAACGGGTCGGGTCGGGTCGGGTATTGAAAGGAGTTTCTTTCGGGTTGAATCTTTAATATGGGCAACTAATGCATGCAATATGGATCTCTGTTAACTTGTTTTCAAAATACACAAACAAATAAAAGTACTTTTTATAAGAGTAAACTTAGGGCAATAGTATCAAAACATTCTTGCGTAAAGGAAATTAATTTAGAAGCAAAGGTATATTAATATACTAATCACCCAGTCAAAATGTTATATATTTATAAGGCTAAAGTCATAGTCTTAGATAGAACACATTGATCTTAAATACAAATTATCCAACTAAACTTTATAGCATAATAATACTCGGAATAAATTGAACTTTCGGCCGGGTCGGGTACTATCAGGTTTGAGATTTTAATTCCGCAACCCTACCCATTAGGTGCGGGTTCGTACATATTTAACCCGTGAATATTTTTAAAAATAAAATACCCGATTAAAAGTGATTGGGTAGGGTTGGGTCGGGTGGGTTATGCAGGTTCAGGTTATTCTTGTGCAGCCCTAGATGGACTGGATCTGGGCGATCCGACCAGGTACTATTGGTACCGGAACAGGCCCGATATTCCGGGACCGATAATTTGGGGCCCTTGCCAGCACAGTACCCGAACCAGTAACGGTCCGGTACCGGCCAGGTACCTGGACCGGTGGTTATAAGGGGCGGGCTTCGGGCTTGATTTTTTGGATCCGACCAGGCCTGGTTCGAGCCCAAAGGCTACAGTTTGTAAAAAAATCTAATTAAATGGGTGGGTTTTGAATCGGGCCCGACCCGGGCCTGATATCGTTTAGGCCCAGACCAGAACTAGTACCGGAGCACACCGGGCCGGTACCGGACTCCGTTTTTTTCAAAACGATACCGGGCTCCGTTTTTTTAAAATGGTACCACCCGAGCCCGAACAAGACTTAATAAGTGACATTTTTTTAATAAGATGCTACATTTTCTTGAAAAACAAATACACAACACTTGTAAAACTTTGGCGTGAATAATTATGGATAACAGTTAATATTACAAAATTATTTTTGAAGTCAAACATTTTTTCATAAAATGTTTGAGTACACAACATTAGTAATATTTTTTTAAGCCACATGTTTTTCATGATCTATAGATTAGTGTTAGTATTAGAAACTTATTTATTTTGGGAGAAAATTATGGTACCTAAAAACACTAAAAACATGAAAATTCATTTTCCTGTTTTAATAAACAAAATATATTATTCAGTATACACCGTTGCATGCATAGATTTCGAAAAAAAATACTCCCTCCGTTCCTGAAAATACTTCCCACTTTCCTTTTTGGGTCGTTCCCAAAAATACTTTCTGTTTTCCCTTTTTGGACAATTTGTGTGGTTCACATCCATTTTACCTTTTTCTTACACAACTACAATCATACATTTCCACTTTATTCCACTTTCTTAATAAGCGTGCCAAGTCAAACCGGGAAGTATTTTTAGGAACGGATGTAGTAGTACGTAGTTTATAAAAAGTCACCCCAAATATAATCAAATTATTTTGATTAGTTTTTAGATGTAGTCTATTAACGAAATTTGTGTATAAGCATTTGAATGGCAACATAATATAGTAGGAGTTCAAAAAGAGTACTGATTGAATACAAGACAATTTTCAATGAGGACGTTTTTATTTGGACTATTTTCAGTCCAGATCATACCAAATTAGACATGAACAGACAAGATCAGATCAGATCAGATCGTATCAGATCAGACTTAAGTAGATTAGACCAGATCATAATTTTATAGTTATAAGTTACACATGAACCAGGCATTTATCAAATCAGTTCAGATCAAATCAGACTAGATCAAATTTAAACAGATCAAACCAGACCAGCAAATTTCTATCCAAATAAAAACATCCTAAATACAAGTAGTATCCTACATATTTTCTATTTATTTGATTATTAGTATACGCTTTTAATTTTCTTATACCAAGCAAATTAAGCAACAAGTAGTATCCTGAAGACTGAAGTTTTGCACAAGTTGAGCTATTGAATGCTCCCACCCGTAAGGGTTGCTCAATGGCGGTCGAGTGATACAATTGATCTGAGTTGATGTATGTAGGTTCCATTTTCGGTAGTGGCAGTATGAGAGAATTTTATCTAATATAGTGGTTCTTTGACTTCTTTCAGTATAAAAAATTATGGGATTGACAAAAATTTAGTATGATTGATCGATGATTTCGTATCAAATAATTAACGACAAAATGCTTTTGGCATGAATTAGGAGAATCCATCAATTAAATCATTTACGAATTTTGGCAAATCCTTGTTTGTTTCATTATTTAATTTTTTTCGTAGTGTTCGTGCGCATTAGACACTGAACCACCTCCTTTAGAACTCTGTCATGATATGGTAATTTACTTATGGAGGTAAGGGTCAGATTGGTACTCGAAGTTGCATAAAAAGGATCAAATAAGTCTTTATATAGGAGGTTTTGTCCGGCCGTCGCCATTTAGGATGGTTCCCGGTGGAATTTTTTGACGAAACTTTTTGAGCATCTTACTCATTAAGTCTAGTTACTCATACCAAATTTCAGCTAAAAAATCAACTGGGAAGGCATTCAAATGAATTCGTGAATATAACTGCGCAGTTAAAAGCACAGTTATCTTCAAGAGTTCATTTGAATGTCTTCCCAATTGAAATTTTTGGTGAAATTTGATATGAGTAAACTAGACTTAATGAATAAGATGCTCAAAAAATTTCATCAAAAAATTCCACCGGCAATCGCCTCAAATGGCGACGGACGGACAATAAAGACTTATTTGACCCCTTTTAGGCAACTTCAAGTACCAATCTGACCCTTGCCTCTTTACTTATGCATCATTTGTTAGATCGGAGTGTGAAGGTGCCTAAGATGGAGAACAATTTTGTTCACCCTCTTTTGAGAGGGTGATGTTCACCCCACCCCTATTTGCATGCCATGTGGCAAGGCAATACTTTACCATGACATGACAACCATAGATATAGAGGGGGTTATGTTCACCCTCCTTAGTGGGGTGTACAAAATTGCACTCCCGGGCCATTCCGCCTTTTTGAGTTGAGCTATTTAAAGCGTCCTCATATGGCCATATGGACACCAGAATCCTAATAATATACTCCGTGTTAATATATATCCTTCCATATTTCTTACTACGTACGAAGTATATAAATTAAGGCAAAAATGATCTTTGTACTCACTCTTATGCCTACTTTTGTATACACCTATGTTTGTAAAGGTTTTTTTGTCCGTGAATCCCGGTTCATAGACAATATTTTGCACAAACAAAATACTGTCTGTGACCCGGCCGGGTTCACAGACAAAAAAACATTCACAAACATGATGGGTATAAAATGGGTATAAGAGTGGGTACATCAAGCATGGCTAACGTAGCGAAAGTCCTTGCCTGACAACTTATATATACAGGATCTCATTGGTTATTTGTTCATTCCATATGTGTATATATATATGTACATTTAGTACTCATCGAAGTGCATATATAATATTTCCTCCCAAAAAAAGTACATATATAATATGGGCTGTGCGAGGTGGTTTCCCTTTGTTGCACCTTCTCTCGGAATTTTCTTCTTCATTATCACATCTTGTCGGGCAGAAAAAGGTATATACTTCGTACATTCAAGTTGTTAAACTAGTGTTTGCAAAACTTAAAAATGTGTTTTTCATGCATCTTTTGAAATGAATGTTTTCAAATGACATCTTATTCTTAATTAAATTAAACATTTAATAAAGTTGGAAGCAAATGGATAGATGTTTTAAACTGCTTTTTACTTATTTCTATTACATAAAACACATTTTTGTGCCAAACGCTATCAAGTTTTACTTTTTCAAAAAATATGTTTTTCTTAAATACTACTCCAGACTTCCTACTACATATCACCTTGTCCTATTAAACATTTTTTCTGCCACTTCAAAAAATCATTTCTTAAAATAGAAGCAACCGCAAATATGGAATTGAAATTATAAGAATTCAAAAAGTGTCTTAAGAAATACAAAGTATTCTTTCTGTCTCATTTTGGTTTTTTTTTTTTTTTGAAGAAGTCTCATTTTGGTTTTTTTACTTCTCTTTTTGAATTATCTCAAAATGAATATCATATTTTCTTTCTTGACAAAAAACTTACTCCCTCGTCCCATAAAATAGTTCCCGCATTAACTTGAATTAGAGTTTAAGAAAGTGGGAATAAAGTGGAAATGTATGGTTGTGGTTAAGTAAGAAAAAGGTAAATAAATGGTAGCAACAAAAATCCAAAAAGGAAATGAGAACTAGTTTTTGGGACGGCCCAAAAAGGAAACCGGGAACTATTTTGCGGGACAGAGGGAGTATATTAGTACTTAATATTATTTCACTTTATTCTACTCACATATCAATACTAATTTTTTTTAACACTTCATTAATATGTCAAATTGAAACATTGGAATAGAGGAAGTAATTGTTGAAAGAAAATTATGTGTCCCACCCTATTAATGAGATCAAATCTACCCGCACCCCCACACACCTAGTGGGTATGGTCATTTGAATCCTAAATCAATCGTTAGGTAATGAGTTAATGACTCAAATAGGACTAATAGCAAACTTAATTACACATATAGGACCGTGAACGAAAATCAGCTTTCATAGGACCAATTTCAACCTAGTTGGACAAGAATAACCCTGCTTTAATTTTTTTAATTTTAAAAATGAAAAATAAAAAACTATTGAAACCCTAAATTGTCAACTGCTAGTAGCAGCATTCCAGAGCCGGAGCCGCCCACCACCGCCGACTGCCGCTACCCTCGCCGACGTCGTCAACTGCCGCCGCTGCCGACCGTCGTCCTCGCCGGAACCCGCCGCATCCCTACCGGCGCACTGTTGTCGTCTGTCGCCGCCCAAACAGAATCGCCTTCCACCTCCGCCACCGTCATCCTATCCTCTTGTTTGCCGCCAGTGAATCCAGGGCCACCACTTCACCTCCGAGCATCGCCACCGCCGTCATAGCCCACCGCCGTAAATTTGCCATTAAGTTGGCAGATTTGGTCTTGAAGAGTACTTACAATTTACAAATCTGCCTTGAAAACAAAAATTCAGATCTGCCATAAATTTGTCAGATTTATCTTGACCAGTTTACACAAAATTGCCATAATCTTGGCAAAATATCAAATCCACAATTAAACTTTTAAAAAACAGAAAAAATAATAATAATAGAACAATAACTTTAACTAAAATAAGAATTTAATGACGAAAAATAATAAAACGATTTACACAAAAAGTGTTTTGCCATAATATGATTGTCAGAGTACATTTCTGCCATAAATTTGGCAAAATCGTATATCATCGTCCAAAAATATTCCATAAACTTGGCAAAAACTTATGTCATAGTCCAAAAATTTGGAAAAATATTTTTTTAAAAAAATCAATATATCAGGAAACAGAAACTTGAAATAGAAATCCAAAAATCAACAAATTGAATGTCAAAACTAAAATAAAACAAAGCAATGGAGGAAAAATTAGAAAAATCAGTTTTAAAGCCAAAAAATTGAATAATAGGAGGAGGAGGAGGGGGGGAGGAGGAGGAGGAGGAGGAGGAGGAGGAGGAGAAGAAGAAGAAGAATTGAAATGAATGACTGATGAAGGATGGTGCGCAGGAGAGATAGAAGGATAAGGTCTGTGCAGAAATAGTTATCGAAAAAGGGTAAAAGTGGAATGATAAATTACGTAGGTTTAATAATATGAGTAATATGATTCTATTTAGGAAATAAAAGATATATGATCGTATTTAAGAATTTCTACCCGCAATTAGTATTAGGTAATAGGGTTTGATCAACCTTTTCTTTCGGTGATTGGAGTCTTCTTTTTTAGGCAAACAACTACATTGCTCATATTTTCAAGAGGTTTTGGTGTTTGTTTTAAATTTGACGGATTTTTCTGTGATTATTTCCTACTAAATTGAATAATAATTATATAATGAGAGAATTACCCAAATGAGACTAAAACTTGGTTAAAACTCCAAAGTGGACATTAAGTTTATTATTCCCTAAATAGGACTTTTAATTACCGATCGGACAATATTGCCCTTAATGAATTTAGCGCATGATCTTTGGACTTCCGGCTACTCTGTTGCGATGCCCTGCACCGATACCTTCACATTGCCGACACCACCACCCTCTGCGCAAGGCCTTCAGTGCAGAGACCTCCACTGTCGTTGGCTGATTGCCGCCGCCTGGGTGACTGCTGCCACCTAGGTGAACGCCGCAGCTGCCTGGCATGAGTTGCGAGATATGACCGCCATTGTATATCTCTTGTAAGATGGCTTCCACTGCCCTCCTTTGAGAATGGCGCTGCCACATCATACGCCGGTGTTGAACTCTCATCTTCTCTTCAGAGTATGTAGTATCTTACTAATTTCTACCAAGATTGCCAACATGAAAAAAATAGTGACAAAAACATGACATTTAGTTGAAAAAATGTCATTTTCAGTTTAAAACATAGCATTTTCATATGAAATTATAAAATGACATGTTATGACATTTTCAGTACCATTTCAGTTTAAAACATAGCATTTTCGTATGAAATTGTAAAATGACATTTTATGTCATTTTCAGTACATTTTCACTAAGTGAATTGAATGAAAATGACACTATTTTGGCAAACAGGCCAAAAACATGGCATTCCACATATTGTAATGTCAAAGTAATTTTATCATTTTGATCGATGCAATAATGTATAAAAGTGACAATTTTTCCATTTACTTTAAATAATACCCAATAGTTATGACTTTTTTAAATTAAAAAATGATAAATAAATAATTTAATTAATAAGAAATTCTTATCACTCGTAGCTGACACCTTGTTTTGATTTCACATCCCAATTCTCACATCTAATTTTTGTGGAATCTCAAAAGTATGCAATTAAGTGGAAGAAAATCTACAAAACAGAGCAGAACCAGCAATAGAATTAAGAGAAGAGAAGAGACGAAGAGAAGAAGAGAAGAAAAGAAGAAAAAAAAGAGAAGATGGAGAAATTATCTGGGCATCTCTGGAGAATCAAGCAAGCGGCCGTTGTAGAGTCGGAGATCGCGGTTTATCTTCATCGCATATGGCCTGGGCGTATGGTGGTCTGCATCTAACGGAATGGGGTCTAGTCGCATATGGCATGGGCGTATGGTGGCCTGGAACGCTTTGTACTGGGGTTTTATTAATTGAAGGGTATAAAAGTAATTAGGACTCCTATTTAGGTAATAATCTTTATATATATAAAAATGGGATCGGCTGGCAATAACTGTTCCCGCCCGATCCCATTCTGCTGAACGCTATTACTAATCTTTGCTCACTTTGGTGGACACGTGTCACAATGGCTATATATCTTTAATGACCGAGCTTTTGACGTGATGATTGTTGGCATATGACTACCACGTGACAACAAATATTATTTAGTAATGAAAACAACCTTTTATTAAAAAACGTGCAACTATGCAAAGCATTGATACATTAAATGATATAGAATTGAAAGGCACTAATTTTTTTTTGTAAATATATATATGAGATATTTAGTGACTCACGTGCAATTTAAAAGTTTAGATTTTATGTTGGTTCAACACTTAATATATTAAATGGTACGACGAATTGAGAAGAACAAGCAAAATATTTAAATATGAATGTAAAATAAACAGAACATTATGTAATTCAATTGTCTAATATAAGTATGTAATAGTACTGATATTCACAATTGATGATCAGAATAAATATTAAAATGGGACACACCATTAATTGCAGACCTGTCATGCTGTCACAATCACAAATTAGAATTAGTTCACACATATCTTAAAAGTTCAAAATTAAGTAGGCGGTGGAGCACACATAATTGTATAATTATGTTAAAATTTTGTTAGTCTCCAATTTTGATAGATTTTGATGATGCCACTATACTAAACAAATTTACATTGAGTCTTATTTTCAGAAGTAACATTTAAATTTAAATCATAAGTGACAAAAATAAATGTACAATCTTTAAGATTAATGATATATTACCGGATACATAAAAATGCAATAAGGTATCTTTTTACCTTCATAGGATATTTAAATCCTACCGGCATATATCATTTTACTCAAAGATTAAGTATAGGTCACATTTAAGATGCTCGAATACATTGAATATTGATTGGAAGACAAAAATTAAATACACGGTCCTACAGCATGGGAGGACTTCTTGGAGTGAAGCTGCAGCGGCTGAAGACACACCCATACCGCAGCCCAATCATTCAAGAAAGAAAACAAAAATATTAAAAGCTCCTGCACAAGAAGACAAATGTACAATTCGTCCTTGCCAGACCCTCAACGCACAAGATTAATCCATCTCAACCAACGGATGAGATTGATCAACCATGAAGGCCTATAAATATAGGTAGAAGCATGAGTTCAAAAACAAGCTTGAGCATTCTAAGCAGAGAAATACTTTCATCAAAGCATATACGAAGCTATCTAGCAAAAAGAGAAAGTGCAAACTCAACTTTACTCTCTGCTTAGCCTCATGCTTCACTAAGCTCTTAGATTAGATCAACACTTTCACATTTTTAGAGCTTAGTTCATAGTTGGAGGTTAGAACTTTCTTGTAACATTTCACAAGTG